GCCGATACAGACACTGCGAGGAGCAGAATCCACGGGGAAAGGTTTTCCTTGGCACCTTCTCTGATGATCATCATTCCTCGTATCTCTGCCAAACTCTGATCATCGGGGATTAAACTTCCTTCTCCGTATTCGGGGAGCCTCGGGGGGGACGGGGAAGGCACCCCACACTCATTACACCCCCGCTAGCTCTGCGGAGCACGAAAAGGGTTTAAAAAGCTGCTGGTGGCCTCGAGGGCACAGCGTGGGCTGACGTGGGAGCTTTCTCTTCCAGCCATCCTTGGGAAAGCCAGTGCGGATGCGCTGCTAACAGCCCTGGGGATGCGCTCAGCAGGCAGCTGAAGCAAGACTTGCCAAAGCAGCTACTCGGGGTCGGCCCAAAGGTCCCCCGCGCTCGGCACCCTCCTCTGCAATGGCCAGCAGCGATGGGCAGGGAAGGGTGCAAGAGCGAGCGGGAGGGTGCGGAGGCATCTCCGCAGAGCGCTGCCGGCTGGGGACGTGGGGGCAGGGCGCTTGGGCTGGCAGCAGCATTGGGGAGGGTCTGGGGTGGAGGTCCCCTTCCTGGAAGTGTCCGGTCGCTCCTGGAGCCCTGGCAAACCCGTGGCACCGGCGATGCCCCGAGGGAAGCGGTTTCACACCCTTCCCACGCGGCGCGCGAAGAGCTCGCTCCTGCCTCGCGCCGAGCGGCCAGTTTAACTCCATGCCCCCTAGTTCCTGCACCAGCAGAAACCATGAAGGGGTCACAGCCCTCCCCAGCACGCAGGACTGACCACGGCCTACGGCACCGCCCTTCGGCTGGATGCTCTATTTGATTTGCCTGGTTTCACCACGGCGGCGTCCCCAGAGCTGGTTCGGTGCGCGCTGGCACGCTCTGTGCCGAGACCCGCCTCCCGAGCAGTGCCTGCCTCCTCTCCCCCTCCTGCTCCCTTCTCTAAAGCCTAAAATTCAGCGAGATTTGGCCAGATTTGGGAACTTCTTGCACTTTACCGAAGTTATTCCAAAGAGCAGGTGGGTAAGAGGACAAGCAGGTGGGGGGCAGAGCAGATGAAGGGGCTGGCGTGGGTCACCAGTGCAGCAGCACGCCCCATTTCTGATCATTTATTCCAGCCAGGGGCTGCCGAGCACAGCGAAGGCAATGCCTTTCTCTCCTCGCCGGGCTCCAGGCAGGGAAGAGTAAGCCATTCCCGTTTCCTTGCAATAAGTCACTTCTGCGTTGAGCAAGACCGCTCCCAAAGCAACACATGCTGCAGGGCGTGAGACAAATGCCCGCAGCGTCCGGGAAGAAATTCCGCCTACCTGTGCAGGGTTGCACAAGCAGCCACAGCAAGTGCTTTTCCGCCTTCCTCTGAAGCACCCGGCCGCCCTCCACCTCGGAGGTATTCAGATACTATGGAGATAGACCTGTAATGACACACATAAATACCACGATCTGTCGGTCCGTCACCTTTAAATAACAAGTCTCCTTTCCCTTCCAACCTACATGCATGCTCAAGCATGGAAATGAAAATACTTCCGAGCTGAATGGCTGTCACATCGGAAGGCGGAGGGCGGG